AAAAATTAGCCAGGCATGGTGGTGGGTGCCTGTAATCCCGGCTACTCAGGAGGCTGAAGCAGGAGAATCACTTGAACCCAGAAGGCGGAGCTTGCAGTGAGCCGAGCCGAGATTGTGCCACTGCACTCCAGCCTGGCGACAGAGCGAGACTCTGTCTCAAAAGAAAAAAAAAAGAGTTATCGTGATTCTTCAAAAAAATTAAAGATAGAATTACCATATGATCCAGCAATTCCATTTCTGAGTATATACCCAAAAGAACTAAAACAGGTTCTAAGAAATATTTCTACCCATGTGTTCATTGCAGTGTTATTCACAATAGCCGAAAGGTGGAAGTCAGCCAAGCACCCATGAGCAGATGAGTGGATAACCCAACTGTGGCCTAGCTACACAATGGAATAGTCAGCCTTGAAAAGGAAGGGAATCACATCACGTGCTACAACATGCATGAACCTTGAGGACATTTCCTAAATGAATGAAACCAGCCACAAAGACAAATGCTGCACGATTCCACTCATATGAGGTACCTAGAATAGTCAGAGTCACAGGAACAGAGAGTAGAATGGTGGTTGTCAGGGGCTGGGAGGGCAGCTGGGGAGTTGGTGTTTAATGGATACAGAATTTTAGTTTTGCAAGATCAAAACAGTTACATAGATAGATGGTGGTGATGGTTGCATAACAACATGAATGTTAGGTAATGCCACTGTAAAAATGGTTAAAATGGTATATTTTATGTTTTTGAATTTTACCATAGAAAAATGTGGCTAAGTCAGAAATCAGAGGTGGAGGAACAGCACAGCACAGCTCAGCCACACTTCCCAGCAGGATCCCACGACTCTGAACATCTGTGAAGGGTCCTCCTCCTTTACCTGATAAACTCAAACCTCTCAGGTTCAGTATTCAGAAGCTAGCCACAGCTCTGCCCTACCCTCTGTCTCTGATCTTCCTTTCACTGTCTCTGCCCTCTCTCCACTCCAGAGACTCCAGTCCCACCAGATTTCCCACTGATCTGCTGACACGGTGCTCCTGCCTCTGCCTGGACTGTTGACCTTCCGACATGCTTCTCCCTATCTGTGATTTTCTGCCACAGGCCCAGCACAAATTCCCCCTCCTTCCGTGAGCCTGCACTGTAATCCTAGACTCAGCACTCTGCCCTGGGCCGCTCTGTATCTGAGCTGGGTCTGCCTGACTTCTCCACTAGAATGTGAGTCCCGAGAGGGCAGCAACCATACCCACTTGTTTTTGTATTCCTTACACTCGCTAGCCTGGGACTTGGTACGGGCATGGGCTCAGTGACATTCATGCTGAGCTGAATTTGTCAAGTGTTGGTACTGTCCCTAAAGAGCACTTAGCATATCCTTGTAGGAGAGAGAAGATGGTCGAGAAGACAGTTCTGAGGAGGGAAATGAATAGCAGCTCTAGGTACCTTCGTCAGCACACCTGACCCTAAGATAGACCGCCCTCTGGACCAGGCACCGTGCTCATTTGTTGCATTTTCTCTGAGGAAGCCAAGGAAACTAGGGACCCTCTCTAGAGACAGGTGTAAGAAATATAGGATGTGTACACACACACCATCTGTATGTAGTTCTGGGTGTTCGTGAAGCTGCTGAAACTGGGGTCCTTGGAATCCTAGCAAGGAACCCCTGTGACAGTCTCTGAGGTACCTACCTTCCAGCACTCAAGGCTGTCTAGGTGTTCTTGTTAACAGTGATAATAACAGTGCTAATAACAGCAGCTACCATTTACTGAGCACTTATTCTGTGCATCGGCAGGCACAGTGCTAAGCTGCCTTACCCTGTTGAATCCTCCTGGCCCACCACCTCCAGCTTGTACTGACACTGTGTTTGTCACTCACAGTCTGCGTTCACCACGGGCTTACATGGAAGTCTACCCTGAACCTCTCTACTTGGAGATTTGTTTTCTTGAATCAGTGCTTTCTGCCCAAATCTGGCCACTGGAAAAGCCATGAAAGTTATGAAACGGAGAAACGAATGCAATATTAGAAACACACTAGAGTTTACAACGTATAAATTTTCAGTCGTAACATTTTCATTTATAATTGAGGAGAATGAACTCTGGAAAGGCAAACGACTTTCCCAAAGTCACCCACTGCAGTGACTGGCACACGCAGGACTCAACTTGGGTCTCCTGACCCCTAGCCCAGTGAGCTTTCCTTTTCTAACCTCACTTCAAACAGCACAGTGAATAGAAACAGTGGGTCTAGGAGCTCTTTCACTGAGAGGAAGACATTTATTTTCCTTTTGTACTTACTGGATACACACACCCTTCTTCTATGGTATGGCAAATCAGAAAACTCACATTTTGGTACAGAGTCAGGACATTTTGATAACAAAAGCAAGCAGAAGACTTATTTAAATTTGCAAGGAGAAACTCAGCATGTTCATTTACTAGCTCAGTACTTAGCAGGATCATCTTTGGGAGCAGAAACACAGAAAATTCTATTATTTATTATAGATCCAAGTGCCCCCTCCCCCCTGAAAGCATCTCAGAATCCTGAAGAAGCTGGATGCCTGTACATCTGTCACTGGCAGAATCAGGAACCACAGCAAGAGTGAAAACAGAAAGCGATTTTGGCACTAAACTGGTGTATTTGGGTTGCTCATGTAGAAAGAAGATAAAAAATTACACATAAAATATTGGTTTAGGGTCTGCCTTCTGTCTACTAGGATTTAAACTGTATGAGGGAAGGGACTCACTCAGGCTGTTGGCTCAGTTATAGCTCCAGTGCCTGGAGAACTGCATGGCACAAAGTAGGAAGTGCTTTGGAATTTTTTTTTCTTTTTTCTTTTCTTTATTTGAGATGGAGTCTCGCTCTGTCACCCAGGCTGGAGTGCAGTGATGCGATCTCAGCTCACTGCAACTTCTGCCTCCCAGGTTCAAGTGATTCTCCTGCCTCACCCTCCCGAGTAGCTGGGATTACAGGCGCGTGCCACTATGCCCAGCTATTTTTTTTGGTTTTTTTTTTTGTATTTTTAGTAGAGATGGGGTTTCACTGTGTTAGCCAGGATAGTCTCAATCTCCTGACCTCGTGATCTGCCTGCCTCAGCCTCCCAAAGTGCTGGGATTACAGAATTTTTTTTTTTTTTTTCCCTGAGACACAATCTCACTCTGTTTCCCAGGCTGGAGTGCAGTGGCATATCTCAGCTCACTGTAACGTCTGTCTCCAGGGTTCAAGTGATTTTCCTGCCTCACCCTCCCTAGTAGCTGGGGCTACAGGCATGCACCACCACGCCCGGCCAATTTCTGTATTATTTAGTAGAGACAGGGTGTCACCATGTTAGCCAGGCTGGTCTCAAATTCCTGGCCTCAAATGATCCACCCACCTCAGCCTCCCAAAGTGCTGGCATTACAGGCATGAGCCACCATGCCTGGCCAACCATGGCCCCAGCTGAAATTTTTATTGACTTAATCATGAATGAATAAAATGATATGGCAATACTAATGAAAAATTTTATCCCCAGACATTTGACAAGGAAACAAAAGGATATTCTGCTCATAGGACTATACATGACTTGGATACTGCTTAATGTCTAATCCAATATTTTGCATTCTACAGATCTTATAATAAAACCTATGGAAAAAATCGAGGATGTTTTCAAAGGATGTTTTTGGAGAATTTGGCGTTTGGAAGAAATTGTAACTAAGCTCTGTGGTTCTCAAAGCTTCCTGTACCTGAGCTGATTTCAGGATCTCCAGGACACTTGTGGGTATCACTGGTAGATGCCGTCCAGGTGGTTAAGGTGATGTTGGTGAGTATTATTTGATAAAAATGCTAGATATTACATTAAATCACTTCCATTCTAGACTGCCAGTAACTACTATCACGTACCTTTTACTTCACCTGATAGATATATGGGAGTTAAAAAAAAATTTTTCATCACTAATGGTAGTCTTTGAGCTATATAAGGTAAGAAACAAAAATATCCAAAACTGATTTCTTATCTTCAAAAAACAGCAAGCAAGGTAAAAGCAAATAAGCAGATAACTTCCCATTTATCAGAGATTGGGTGAAATAGGACTACTATGCACTCCACATTAAAGTCAAAGACGCCTGCCAGTCACAAGCACCTCCTGATGCTTGTGGACATCTGTGATGAATCCTAGCCCCAGATGAAATACTCCCAGACCAAGTGGCCTGGCGGAGTCCATTCCACAGTGGCAACTTGCATCTGGCAGTGGACGACACCCTCTGTCCCCATCACAACCCACAATCTACAATAGAGCTGGCTGATTGCTTTACTTTCTGAAAAATAAAAAAAGACAAGGTTGTGACTATCAAAGACCCATTTACCTGTTAGTGGCAAGGAGGTGAATGGCATCGTGGGTGTGTTTCCTACATAGTTGGTCTCAGGCACCGGGATTTTATACAGACTAGACATAGGACTTGGAATTGGCCCATACCAAACTCTGGGACCTGCTGTTCCTGGATCCAGCGGTCTTGTTCCAAAGCCATGTGAGCTATATAATACATTGTTCCGATATGGCACTTGAGGTTGGCTGCTAAGCCCTGAGGGCTGGGGCACTGCATTACCATGACTGGCTGCACTAGAATAAGCGGTGCCTTTTACCTCTGTATTCTGAAAATTCTCATAAGGTCTTTGCTGTGCAAAAGGGTCATGGGAGACCCTTCGTCTCCTTTCCTCCTCTCTGTTGTAAGCCACATTCTGTCTGGGCTGCTGTTTCATCTGCCTGTCCATGCGGCTGCCATAGAGATGGTAGTTGGCTTCCTCTTGGAGTTTACTCTGCAGACTGGGCTCATTCTCTTCTTGCTGGTGCTCCAGGGAGGGGGCAAACCAGGACTCCTCCACAGGACCCATCCCAAGTCCCTGGGAACTATGCAGTGAACCAGGCTGTTCTGTGGCTGAGAAGAAATGATCAACATTAGAATGGGGTTCGTGAAACATTAAAACGTAAAGTAAAATCTGAGCACCATCATGAATCTGTATCTCAGAGGGACGCACAGAAAACAAGTAAGAGACCAGTCCAAAGCATTTAGGAGATGGTCCTCTTCCCACAAGCTTTACAAATAATAGGAGCTCCTCGCTGGCAGTGAGAGAGTACTAGGAAAATTACAGCAACCAAGAGAAAAGCGGCTGTTGCAGGGATGATCAAGGAAAAAAGGGACTTGGTTTGGAGCAGAGAAGGTGGTTGTCTCCTTGGAGCGATTCAGGTGGAAAATAAGATCTGCGACCGGGCACAGTGTTCACGCCTGTAATCCCAGCACGTTGGGAGGCCGAGGCGGGCAGATCACCTGAGGTCAAGAGTTCGAGACCAGCCTGGCCAACATGGCAAAACCCCGTTTCTACTGAAAATACAAAAATTAGCCAGGCATGATGGTGCACGCCTGAAATCCCAGCTGCTTGGGAGGCTGAGGCAGAAGAATCGCTTGAACCTGAAAGGCAGAGGTTATAGTGAGCCAAGATCACGCCACTGCACTCCAGCCGGGGTGACAGAGGGACTCCGTCTCAAAAAAAAAAAAAATTTGCAGCAGCTCTGTCCTAAGCACGTCCCATGAATTCTTTCATTCTTGAAGAGCCCTATGAGAGGAGGAGCAATGATGATGATTTGATGGGTGAAGTTTAGAAGAGGTTAAGTAATTAGCCACAGTTCAGGTAGCTAAGTGGCTGCAGTATCCTATACTCTGCCATCCTTTTTGTTACAGTGGAAAAAGTATTCCTACTTGACCTGAGACGAGCCTCTCTGCTTGTAGTCTGGCTCTAAGTCACTACGACCTCCTCAGGGACTTTGCTCTCACATATGTCCCTTACCTTCTTCTGAATCTCACTTCTCCCCATCAGATATGTTAGGCCTTTTGTTCAGAACACTATGACTGGCGAGCACACTGTTACTTCGTATTTCAAATACATGTAACTTGACTCTCGAATATGATAAATTCCTTTAAGGCAGGTGTTCACTTTTATAGTTTCTTCTGTTTCCCATGTGGTCCTGAGTAGCATTTTAGAGCGGAGTGAATGAGTAACCAGACAAATACATGAATGGATTTTGAGCACAGTGCAATTTACCTGAATTTGACCTGCTCGGAGGCACTGCCACACAATCAAGTTGGAGAGACTGCATTCTCTTCACAACTGCATTTTCGTTGGAATACTCTTTCTATAATTAAGAGCATAAATACACACTTCAACAGCAGAAAAGACTGAGTCCCAGAAAATTATAAATGAGAATTCATATTTTCAGAAGGTAGAAATTTCACATAGATCTTACAAGTAATAATTTTTTTTCATTATTGTTTTTCCCAAAGAGCCAAAATAACCTTTAAAAAGAACAAGGTTGGAAGACTCACAGTTCCTGATTTCAAAACTTACTACAAACCTACAGTATTCAAAACGGTGTAGTACTGGCATAAAGACAGGCACATATGCCAGTGGGGCACAATGGAAAGCCCAGGAATAAACCCTCCCATAAACAGCCAATTGATTTTTGACAAGGTTGCCAAGACCATTCGATGGGGAAAACTGAATATCCACATATGAAATAATGAAGTTGGACCCTTATTTCATACCATATAAAAATTAACTCAAAATGGATCAAAGACTTGATTTAAGGGCTAGTGCCACAAAAATTCTTAGAAGAAAACACAGGGAAAAAGCTTCATGACACTGGACTTGGCAGCGATTTCTTGGTTATGACGCAAAAGCACAAACTAAAGTAAAAAGTAAAAATACATCAGAATTAAAAGCTGTGCATCAAAGGATACTATGAAGAGAGTAAAAAGATAATCCACAGAATAAGGAAACAATACTTTGGGAGGCCAAGGCAGGTGGATCACATGAGGTCAGGAGTTCGAGACCAGCCAGGCCAACATGGTGAAACCTTGTCTCTACTAAAACTACAAAAACTAGCCAGGCGTGGTGGTGTGTGCCTGTAGTCCC